CCATAAACTTTAAAATTGGTTTTATCGAAAAGTTAATTATTTTATTGTTATAAATATGAGTTCTATCCAGATTTTTTTAATATTTTTGAATATAATACAATTTTGGTTTCTTTAGAGAGTAGGCAGAAAATGCTATAAAAACCAAATCTCCAAAGTGTCGAGTTTTTTTAAAACACTGCTCTTTAAAAAACACTGAAACTATTTTAATGATGTATTAGTTGTTTTTATATTCATTTTGTTCCTTGGTGAGTAATCTTCCCGACTTTTGTACAAAGCGGAATTTCGAAAGAAAATTGTTTGGGCCTTGCTATATTAAGGCTAAGCGTTTTTCTGCAAACCTTATTCGGTTTCTGGTTTTTTTAATTATGACATTCTTGCAGCAAACGAGCGCTATGTACAACTGTGCGAATATCGCTTATTCGCAACACTCTTATTCCGTTTTTCAACTAAGTATTCGTCGATTTTTATCGCAAAAAAAAACTATTATGCTTTCCACTATTGCCGCTGAGCTACCACCAAACAACTTCTTCCTCCTTTTGCCTTCTCCGCGCCCCTACTACCTCGCTGTAATGCTTTTAAGAACTATTCGAAATAATCTTTTTTCACTTTATTTGTACATCGCTGCAGTACTGTGTAATTCGTTTGGCGTTTCTTTTTTTGTGCCAAATTAGTGCAGAATTCTCTGGCAAAATATATATAATTTTTTCGTTTTGTAGTCTTTCATTGTTTTTGTTTGCTTTTAGATGCTATTTCACATTCCTGTTTATTTGCTGAGCTTTCATTCATTACAATTGTTGTACTTGTTGTTGTTGATAAAAGTCACTCCCTATTGTTAACAAAATTTCTTGTTGTATGAGCTGAACTAGTCGACTTCTAACTTGTTGCTGTTTTGTTTTTGTATACCTGCGCTGTTTTGTTTTATTGCTTGTAATTTCTGCGACTCTCACCATTACTGCCCTAATTTTGTTTGTTGCACCACTTAAATGCAGGTCTATACTTTCCATCCAATTTCTACTTCCAGTGACCTCTTTTGTTTGTCATTAGGGATTTTTGAAGAGTTGTTATTTTTTTTATACATAAGTATGTATATTTAAAAACTAACGAAGCTATGGGGTCTAGTACATACAGATGCACATAATATTTTTAGTATATTTTTTTTGCAGATGTTAGGCCAGAGAGTTCAGCATGCAGCAAGGCAGATTAAACAAGCAGCAGCATAAGAGCATTGCTTGAAAATTAAGAGTTTATTCCGTGAGGGATTACTTTTAAACACAATTTGGTATTCAACTTACTATTAGCTGAAAGTATGGACCTATTCTGATCGTGTTAGTTAAAAGTCTTTCGTACGACAACTGAAGAAAATATCTATCGATATTTTTATCGACATATTTATAGAAACATTTATCGATGTTGTTGTTCATCCGGAAATAGTCCCAAAAGTCCGGATATAGTCTCGAGAATCTCAAAAATTCCTAAGTAGTATCAAAAATCCCGAAATAGTCCCAAAAATCTCGAAGTAGTTCTGTAGATACCCTGCCCAAAGAGTCCCGAAATTCTGGTAATAGTTTCGAAAATCCCACAATAGCCCCGGAAATCCCGAAATAGTCCCGAGAATCCCGAAATATAATAATTAATTACAAACCTGGTAAGTACTAATTTGCGTAGAACTGGAAGTTGGAAAATACTTGAAAATCGTATCTGTGCTGCACAAGAAAGTATTATGTATCTAGTTGAAAAATCAAATCAATTCGCTCAAATCACAAATAAATTTTCTGACAATCGGAAATGTGCTACTCTTCCACGAAAATAATGAAATGTGCTAGTCTTCCTCGCGAGAATCTGAAATGTGCTAGGTAAAATTCGAGAACTACCAAAAAATTGCCATACAAATTTTCAACTTTTCAATTACTTTTCTTAGATATACAGTTTTGTAGCCCGTTAAATTTTAATATAATAAGATGCAAGTTTCAAGTCTATAAAAACTACCGTTGATTTTTGAGAAGTTTTTTCTTTGTCAAGGGTGTTTCGCATATTCTTCCATATAAAAGTAGATTTTGTTCATGCGCTATATGGAAGAAAAAGGGAAACACCCTTGAAAAAAAAAATCTCAAAAAGCAACGGTAATTTTTAGAGACTTGAAACATGCATCTTATTATACTAAAACTTAATGGGTTACATAACTGGGTACTCAAAAGAGTACTCTAAGAAAGCTAATTGAAAAGTTGAAAATTTTGATAACAATTTTTTGGTATTTCTTGAATTTTCCCGAATTCTATATGATATTGAAAATATCTGTTCTGCTGGTTTTTGCTGTAGAATGGGTTATATTTTTATAACAAAATAAGAATAATTTGTATCGAAAATACAAATGAAGAAAATCGTCAAAACGTCAGGGTATTCATATTTTTGACGCTGACTGTATATAGATGAGTTCAGCCCAATAAAAAATTTTCATATAACGCCACTCTCTAAATAGCAAAAACAAATTTGAACAAATGTACAAGTCGCGTAAGTTGGCTTGATTCAAAGCGAACATTTGAAAGCGCACTTAAAGCACACTATGCGGGCATGCCGGTAGATCTGCAAATCATGGCTTGGAATTAAAACCGGCCACTGCTTAATGAGAAGACATGCTGATACACCGAAAGCATCTCAGTCACTGCCCTGGGACTAGAATATGCTCATTTCACCATTGCAACTTTGACCGTCTGGCGGGCCTAAGTGTAATAGACGCCCATGAATTCTCGCGTTTTATTAATACAACTAATTGGTTATATTTCTGGGTGGGACGGAAATGAAACATTGCTCTCAAACCGGTATGAAAAGGCTCTCGCATCGTAGGGGCATTGAACAGTGCAGGGTAGGATACTGTAAAAACGTTACGAATCTTAGGTCCATCTCAGTAAGATGAATAAGTGAGCTTCTGCTGACCTTCTCAAAAGGCTATACAGTTGTAAGTGAGTACACAAATGATCAGTAAAAAAATTTATCACGAATTCTGGTCTCATAGGACAGTGGTGCTTATGTAACTAAGCTGATCATTGAAACTTTTATTTATCGAACCCTAAAACCCCATCGTCTTATGATTTCAAATTAAGTATAACCTCACGCGTGTTAAGACTTCCTTTACATACTTCCGTATCTATGCATGAATATTTGACATAAAAGGAGCAAGAAAATAGCCTCAAAAGGTTTCCGGATATATTTTCGAATTACTTATTTCTGCGCACACTTCACTTGCAAGCTTTCAAACTTGTTTTATGGAGATCTTAAAAAGGAAAATGGTGGCTGGCTATACGAGGGAGGATGTTAATCAGAAAGCGAGGTGCTGAAACTTGCACAGATGTGCGTAAGTAAGTATGTATGTATATAGATATCAGTATAAAACTTTTCTAGATAAATCTAAGATGGCAGAACGTGCTCTGGTTATTTGATTAACTTAAGTGTATTGGTGGGTAATAAGACGTTGGAGCGTAAAATAAGGACGAGCTGAGAATATTGCATATAAGTACACCTATACATATACATATGTAGGATAACATACATGCATGCATATTTATGTATGTATGTGCATATGTTTTAACTGCTTGGTATTTATGAGCATTCAAGTGGCGCTGCTATATATCCATATCCTTATACATATGTACATACATATGCGTATGCGTAAAAAGGACTTGAAGCGAATTGTATGTGCTTGCGTTCAGTTTGATAACGCTGCTCATAAACCAAGTTATATTGATAGTATTGGTAGGGGATTCAGTTTTGTTTTTGTTTTTTTTTTTTTTTGTTCGGTTTTAGTTGTTTTAGTGTAGTAGGTGGCATTAATGTGACACGTTGATGATTGGGTATGACAAGCACGTCGCGAAAATATGTTGGGCTAAGTTGCCATATGTGTGTAGGTACATAGTATGTATGTATGTATGTGTGTATAAATACACCACAGGCAAAGGAGCGAGTTTTGAAGTAAAATCGATTTGTGTAAATATATTGGCATTCGAAAATCACTGCGAAAAGCAACAAAAGTTGTGGGGAGATGAGTGCCAATAATAATTACATTTTCACAAGAGATACATATATTACTTTTGTAAGAGCAACTGTAGGAGAAAAAAGTTTTAGGGAGAATGGATGATGTACATATGTACTATGTACAGTGACGCAAAAATAAATAGGGAAGCGAAATTTTAACAAGTTGTGGCTTTTTTGTTTGTTTATTGTGTTTGATATTTTTTTTTTAATAAATCATAGCTCTCTATCTAACAACAACCAGGCAAGTTCGAATTTTCAACTACATACAAAAATTAGGAAAATTATACAAACTTTCGTAAAATTTTCAAGCTTTTTTATTTGAATTCGGAAAATGCTTGATTGAACATTTTTGTAGCTAGTAATTAAAAAAGTGCAAGTTTGAAGTAGCTAGGGACTACCCTTGGTGGATAACACCGCCATCAAAAAAATTATGACAAATCAATCATTAGTCCTAACTATTTTAAACTTGTACTTTATTACACTAAACTTTAATGTCCGCACTACAAAAGAGAATAACTAGTTTTTTTTTTTATTTCTGAACAAAAATATTGAATTTTTGATGAAAACTTTTTGAAGTTTGTCGATTTTTTATAAATCTTGTACAAAGTTAGAAATTTTGACTTACATGGTTTTTATTACATAGTTAGCTCTACTTATAAGTAGTAAATAAACAAAAGGAAAATAGCCAAAAATTTAAAAATTTTGCGTCCCTGTTTATTTGCCTACCACCGTATGTAATAGGTAATGGTAATGTATTTTGATACGAGTAATGATAATAATAATGACAATATTGGTGATAATGGTAATGATAATTGTAATGGTAATGGTAATGATAGTAATTGTATTTTCAATGGTAATTATGGAAAAGTTATTTAATAATGGTAATGGTAACGATAGTCATAGTGATATTGGTTATTGTAATAGAAGAGGTAGTGGTAACGGCAATGGCAATGGTAATGGTAGTTGTATAAGTAATGGTATCTAATAATAATCATAATGGTAATGGCAATTGTAATAGAAGCGGTAGTGGTAATGGTAATGGTAATGGTATTGGTAAAAGTAATGGTGATAATAATGGTAATGGTAATAGCAATGATTATTATAATTACAACAGAAATGGCAATGTTCTTTTGAATGGTAATGAAAATGGTAATAGTGGATGTAATGGTAATGGTAATAGTATTGTTATAATTGTGGTAATGGTAAAAGTAATTATCCCAGTAACCCTTACCATTACCATTATCACAGGCCATTTCTCGAGTCAGTGTGTTTCAAATCAAAACTTAGCGAGTGCTAGGCTCATACTCTTGCCTGGTCTTTTTCTTTCGGTTTAACCAACGAACTTTCATTGAAATAAAAACATTCATTCATTAAATTTCCAATTTTAAGTCATAAGCAAGCATTCGGTAGGCTAGACTGGCTACAGCCAATATAATAAAAAAAAAAAATATTTCATTAAAACGCGTTTAACCAAATGTGTGGCGCCTGTAAATACTTTGTTTAACAAAAAAATTTTTCAATATTATCTCAATCTCTAGTTAGTTGGAACAACAACAACAACACAAGATATGCAACAAAAAATTTTGCTAGATCACCTTCCTCTGCAGCATGGCAGTACCAACAACAATGTTGCAATCCAAAGCAGACAATGCACAGACAGAGACGTGGGAAGAAATGGGAATTGATGAACAGAGCGCTGCAGCAATAACGGAAAACAAATATTGTCTGCAAGTTTACTACCCGCCCGTTTATTGACAAAGTAACAACGGAACAACAACATCATAAGCAATAATACAGTAATCATTGTGTTTTGCAAAAAAAAAAATACAAAAAAACAACCAAAATAAAGAAAAAGAAAATTAAGCAAAAAAACTTGCTACGAAATTCAAAATTAAGTGGAAAACGTAAAAATGTGGGTGTCAGTTTATTGGACGCTGCAACAACCAAATGTAATGAACCGTACAATGGCGTGTACCGACAACGGCAGTCGCAATGACAGCGCAAATGACGACGCGCCGAGACGGCGTAATGGACAGTGCCATGAATGAATCTTTGGGGAAAAGTGAGTGTGGCCTTGGGCTATTGGTGCATGGAATGGGTATTTCACCAGTGTTTTAGACGAAACAATTAAAGATGGCTACGACAACATGTAAATATATCGATAACGATATCGATATACAGCGATAAGTACATATGTACAGTGAAATATAAATGCCTACATACATACATATATATGTACATATATGTATAGGTGACCACATCGATAACAATATTGGTTAGGTTTTTATGTAAGGAAGAGCCATACGCAAAATTATTTAGGATATCTGGCTGGGATCGAATCGTAGCAGCAGTGAATGACCAAGTCGCCAGGTAACAAAATTATACTTCGATTTATAAGAGATGTGAACCTACTGCTCATCGCGTAATTTGGCATGATAACATCAATGAACAAAAGGCAGAACGTACTCGATCGTTCAAACGTCCATTCAATCACAAACGGCAATCGCATGCGGGAAAATTTGAGAAAATGTAAAACGAAATTTGGAAATTGGGCATGACGAGGTAGGAGCAGCAATATAATGGCTGGAAAAACACAAATCAGCTGGAACTGACGGCCTGTCGGCTCGGATATTTATCAATGAGAAAATTCTTAATTAAAGGATAATACATTAGATGAGTTTTGCAGAAAATGCTATTCAATCGCATACTTTAAATGTTTTCATATCAGCCAGAAATAATCGGAATGGAAAAATAAAAATAAAAATGAACAAAAACCAACAAAACCAAAAACCACATGATCAAGTGTGAATTGCAGCGGAGTAGCTGCGCTTGATTGTAGTTGGCTTAACAAATGAAATAGAGGAAGAAAGCAACAAGAATTCACAAGGCGAGCTTAGCACAGTGCATAGGCAACTGGCTGAGTCAGTGGGATCGTCGGTTCGAATCCTACTGAAAGAAGTCTGATGAGGAAATGTGGTGATTTCCGTAATAGCTATCACTTCTACCATTTTTTTCAAATAATTGTTGCTTTTTCACAATAAGTTTTCCATTAAAAACGGCCTCAAGCTCATTAAAAATGTTTGAAAACAATGTAAAGTTAAGAAGTGCACTTTAAAATGAATTCTGTGCTAATATTCGATTTTTTTTTCTTTATTAAAAATCAATTTTAGTCATAATTCCATCGCTTTAACACTTCTGTGCTTAATCGGCGAAAAACTTAGCCAAGTGATTTTCAGCGGCTCTTCGATCGCCCAATTTTTTAACATCAACAGAGTATTGCAGCGACCGGAACAAATGGAAGTCAAACTGGCTGGACGGTAGATGCATTAAAACTTCCGGACGACGTTCCGTCAATTTTTTGCCATTTTTTGTCATTAAAGATGTGTGTAACCTGGTATTCTTTCGATGGAAATAACTTCTTTTCTGTTGGCCAATTTTGATCGCTCTTTCTTGGTTGCTTTGTTCAGACGGTCGAATAGTGCACAGTAGAGCACCGATTTATCGTTTCGCCACGTTGTAGCTAGGGATGTCAGTGGCAAAAATACATCGAAGTATTTTGTGATTCGATGCATCGAAAAGTACATCGATATTTTTCAATACATCGAAGGGCGTACATCGATGCATCGATTTGCATAGGGTTTTTCAAATATTATTTCACAGCAAAATATATGTGTTATAAGCAAAATTTCCATTTTTTGGTCAAACTCGCTTCTCTTTTTTGCGCAATTGAAAAATTGAAAAGCCAGTTCAATGTACTAGAGATGTCAGTTTTCAAAAAATCGATGCATCGAACATTGAGTGGAAACTTTTCGATGCATCGAAGCATATCGTCGAAATTTTCGATATCCCTACACTCAACATAACCTTGTTGCCGTCAATGCAGGCTTTAAAGTCATTTGTTTTTTTTTTTTTATTCGTATTCAACTGCTTCACTGATCGCAACTCGGTCAATCAAATTTCTTTGCGTAATTCATGTGGCACCCAAAAATCGAGCTTCTTTGAATAGTCTGCTCTTCCTGTCAGCTTCTATGCTGGTCTGGCTCAACCATTTGTACTATTTTATCGATTTTTGCAGTGACTAACCGACCAACCGACCAGATATTTCACTCTATTTCAAAGATGTATGGATGTTCAGAGACTTTTCATATGAGTCAATATTATTAGGGTATTTAGTTTATGTACTTAATAATTGTTTTTAGCGAGTCCATCTGAGTGCAAAAAACCAAACTTAATAATCGTCAAACAATATTTTTCAAAAATTTTTCTTCCATCCAGTTTTATGTTATTTTCCTGTCAGCTTCAGTCTCTTTTGTTGGCTATGGTCTTAGCGTTTGTTGTTTTTTTTTCGTCTCTGCAGATTTGTAATAAATTATATTGTGTCTGCGTTGTTGCTAAAAATCATTGCAAATATGTATACTCCAAAAATATATGTAACAGTTTAACGTTTACACAGCAATTTTTGGGATCTTTCGCTTTATTTTGCCGAGTACCAAGTATACTTGGGACATTGGAGTATGTAAGTATGTACATACATACTATGTGTGTATGTATGTATGTATGTATTTTTGCATTTTGCCCTGTTAAAGAGACAATGATGATGGCGACATCAAAATGTCGACGACCATTACTTATATATGTAGGTATATGCATGCTTCCATATATGTATACGAGTTCATACATAATCATTTATGTACATAAATAAATTTTAGCTTGCAAATATTCAAACAAACTGAATTATAACCACCTTAAATTAGCGACGCAACGCAACACGACAGACAGCAACAGTTCAGCAGCTCAGCCGGTAACCGCAAGCTTTACGACGTTGTCGCGCCTTCGTTGAATTTGACGCGGCGAACCAGAAAAATTTGCTTACTGCTTCCATTGTTTTTGTTGCTGCCCTGTGGGGAAAATCTCGAGTTCTGAACTGGTGCGCTTCTAGTACATGTAGGCCCACTACTAGTTCGCGATAAATCTCTTTTGCATGCACTGCATTACCTTTTCTAATAGTTCAGAACCAGTCCTAATTTCGACAGATGGGATCTAGTTCGCTTTGCACCCGTTTTCTATAGTTTCGAACCAGTTGATGTTCTTTAACAGTCCTTTTGGTTTTACCATGGTAGCGATTTTTAATTATTTGCAAATAAATATGTTTTCAATCTGAAATCAAATTTACTTGAATGATTGCAAGAACTGTACGTTTACATACCTTTGGCAGTAGCTGAATTTGCAGGGATGGTGGCTGTTATTGGTTAGATTCGAGAAGGTCCCAAAATGTTAACATGTTGACACAAATTTTAGTTTTGTATTACCAAGCTATGAAAAAGCATCTGCGAAGTGCAGACTGAAAGCGCATTTGAACGAAAAACCCGTAAAGCAAAAAAAAGTCTATTTAAAGTAAATAAGCCCCCCGCTGCATCCCTTTTCCAGGTAGTTCCGAACTAGTCCAAAATTCGCCCTAAGAGATCTAGTTCGTTGTGCATCCCTTTTTCTATGGTTTCGAACCATTTCTAAATTCGTCATTTTAGATATAGATTTCTAATTTTGTTTTTAAACTGGTGGCGATTTAGTTACGATCGGACTGGTTCATTTTTGGCGATAAAGATCTAGTACGGAACAACAAATTTGGTCCACCAGTTCGGGGTTTCCCTACTGGGTATGCTTGGCTTTGGTTGAGTATAAAAGTATATTTTTGTTGTATTGAAAAGCATGTGCACACAACGCTTTCGGCCAAGTTTGTTGGACTCAGTTGGCTGTAAACGCAAAGGTTGTAAAAGAATTTTGTCAACAATGATTTTTGGTCAATTTGGCTGTGGGCACGGTTGCCAACTTTTGCATTCTTCAAACCGGGACATAAATTTCAAACCTGATTTTTTTGAAAATTATCTATTCAAAATAAGAAAACAAGAAAAAAATTTAATACATAAAAAATTCCATAATACAAAATTTCAATGTTAGTACTTGTAAATAATTTAAAGCATAAATTAAAGTTGAAATAAAAATCACCACCAAATTATAAATTATGAATTTCTATATACATACATATGTATGTATTTGGCATGGGGAATTTTTCACAATGAACACGTGTAACTTTTTTACTGAAAATTTTCCGTGAATTTTTTTTAAAACATAGTTTATACTACAACAAAAACATAACGATTTATCTAAACTTCGTGAAAAACTCAGGAAAATTCAATAAATTTGC